CGTGTGTGTGCATGTTTTCATGTTACCCCAACCCCATCATGTGCCCCATCAGGACTGTGATTGCGTGTGTTTCATGTTACCCCAACACTACCATGTGCCCCAACAGTCATGTGTGTGCGTGTGAGGTTGTGTGTGGGTGGTTGTGTGTTTTATTGTTACCCCAACATCGCCTGCTTGTGTGTACATGGGGGGCGTGTGTGTGTACCACATGAGTGTTTACACACACAGACAGAAAGAGAGAAGAGAGAGAAGAGACAGAGAGAGAGAAGAAATCGAGCTGGTGCCACAAGCGTTGATGTAGCCTGAGGAGTACTCCACCATGGGACTCCACCAAGGACGTCTGTCGTCTGTCTGTCTGTCTGTCTGTCTGTCTGTCTGCCTGTCTCTGTCTGTCTGTCTGTCTCTGTCTGTCTGTCTGTCTGTCTTTTTCTTTCTTCATTTCTTTCTTTCTTTCTTACTTTATTTATTTATTTATTTCTGTCTGTCTGTCTGTCCGTCCGTCTGTCTGTCTGTATGTCTTTTTCTTTCTTCTTTTCTTTCTTCCTTTCTTTCTTTATCTATTTATGTCTGTCTGTCTGTCTGTCTGTGTGTCTGTCTGTCTGTGTCTGTCTCAGCAGGAGGAGGAGATTCAGGCTGAGAGGTGGAGAGCAGCCGCACTGCTGTGGAGGAGCAGGAGCAGGAGCAGGAGCAGGAGCAGGAGATGATGCTGGATACAGATCGAGGCGGAGGAGCAGGAGCAGGAGTAGGAGTAGGAGCAGAAAGAAGTAGACTAGCAGCAGCAAGCCCCTCCAAACCGTCGCTGCCACCACCGCCACCACCACAGCAGCAGCAGCAGCAGCAGCAGCAGCAGCAGCACATCATCTCCACCATTCATAATGCTGAAACCCTGCCCACCACCCCGCCTGCAACCATCACAACAACAATCAAGCCGCCAACACGACAGCCACCAGCAATGATGATGCCACGACGGAAGGAATACCCAAACAAGAAGGCACGCCTGCTGTTTGGTGGCGCTGCTGCTGCTGCTGCGGCTGCGGCTGCGGCGGCGGCGGCAGCTGCGGCTGCTGCTGCTGCTGCTGCTGCTGCTGCTGCTGCTGCTGCTGCTGCGGCGGCGGCGGCGGCTGATGATGATGATGATGATGATGATGGTGCTGCTGCTGCTGCTGCTGCTGCTACTACTAGTGCTACTGCAAGATGGTGGAAGAAGCAGCCACCAGCAGTTGTCAACCACAGATCCACTGCCCGAGGCCACCACCGTGACCCACAAAGAAGGTATAGATATATAGAGAGGCAGCAGGCTGTATATTATAGCTTTCTTCCTTACACACACATACATACACACATACATACATTCACACACACACATACATACATTCACACATACGCTATGTTTACCGCTAGGACTTAGGGTTACATATGTATAACCTGTAGGTTTTTTTATATAACACCTCTCTCCGTCTGTGTGTGTGTGTGTGTGTGTGTGTATATATCTGTAGGGTTGGCAAAAATACTATATTGATTTTCCCAAATAGTATAGTATAGTATGAAATAGTACTATATATAGTAATATAGTACTATGATACTATTACTATGCAGGTACAAGCTCCCTGTAGAAGGGGGGTGTACGACCAACCGTTGTACCTGAAAATTACACCGTTGGAAAGGTCTTCTTTTGTTCTTTCTAAATATTTACTTAGACATGAGAAAGCAGATCGCTGTGGTCATCCAGATCACTTTTTGTTAGTTCGGTGCCCGGTAGGTGGACCCCAAACCCCATGTCTCAAGGCGTGTTATGGCACATAAAGACATAATCACAGATAGAAGACCCAGCGTTGACAAGACAACACAAGGACGCCATACTCGGGTCTGGCCATCAATGCCGCGCCGGCGCTTGGAGAGGGCCTGCTGATCCGCCATGCTGGGGCCCGCCGCAGCAGAGCTGGTTCCACTCTGTTGCTGTTGCTGGCTGAGTGACGCTGCACGCTGTTTGATAGCCTTGCAAGCACCTTGCTTGATGTGGTGCGCGTTGGTAAAGGATGGGTTCACTGCGCTGAGCGGCTCATCGCAGAACAGGCAGACTAGCTTTGGTACACCACCCCACCACTCCACATCGAAGTTGTCCCAATGACTACCCGTCTTGGCGTTCTTCTTCTGGTTACAAAGCTTGTTAAAAAGCTCGTTCCGAGAACGGAGAACTTCAGAGGGGACGTCTGGACCAGGATGCAAGCCTCTGATCGCCTTCTCATTCTTTATACTGGATTCCTTTGACATTATTCATCAATAACTACGTAGCACAGCTCGAAGACGCGGCTATAGCCCTTCAAAATACAGCTTGACTGCAGATCTCGACTTGGTCCAACTAGTACTGGACACTATCCAACCCCAAATCTAGTACTATATAGTACTATTTTTACTATACTATTTTACTATGTACGAACGCGGTACGAGCGTCGTAAACTAGTACCAGTTTAGAGCCCTGCATAGTAAATAGTACTATACATAGTACTATTATAGTATAGTACTCTTTTCTAGTATAGTACCCGTGCCAACCCTATATATCTGTCTCTCAATATGTTGCACAGGTGGACAGATGAAGATGTCAAGCAGCTGCTGTACAGATGTGGGGTCCATATGTTGGGAATCCTCAGCTGGGTGCCACACACAAGACATCACCCTCCTGTTGCCGACGACGGCGATGTCAAGCTGCTGCGCCGCACGTATGCCATCCTTGCAGCTATTGGCAGCCGTCTGCGCCCCAAGTTCCGAATTGTAGCTGCACAAGATGTTCCGGGGTGGAACCACAGGGCGCAGGTTATTGCTCGAAGACTGCAACTCGACCCTGCAGATGAGGATGCCAACCTGGTCATCCAAAATGCAATGCTGCTGCAGCTTCCCATCTGCTACCGCTATAGTAATGAGCAGCAGCAGCAGCAGCAGCAGCAGCAGAAGCTACAGCAGCAGAAGCTACAGCAGCAGCAACAATGCACCACTGGCAGCAGTGCCACCATTACTACTGCACATCATGATGGTGATTATGAGGATGAGGATGGGGAGGAGGATGGTGAGGAGGATGGTGAGGAGGAGGAGGAGGAGGAGGAGAAGGAGCAGAAGGTGGCCGCGGCGGCAGCGGCGGTGGCGGCGGCGGCGGCGGCGGCGGTGGAGGAGGAGGAGGAGGAGCAGGAGGAGGAGGAGGAGAAGGAGGAGGAGGAGGAGGAGGAGGATATGACCAACAGGTTGGCCACAACAACAACTGCACCTGCTACAGTGGCAGCACGGATGATGCACGGATGCTGCAGCATGAGGGAGGCTCTCAGCATGTCTCCATGTTGTTTCATGTGCAAGTCCTCCCCCTCCAAAAAGGGTGGGGAACGAACATCCTATCCCGGCCATGAACAAGTGTACAGCAAACATCACGGTGACATGATCCAGGAGGTACAGCCGTTCCATCATGTCAAACACATGAACCCCTTCCAGGTGCTCCAATGCACCACAGCAGCAGCTGCTGGTGCTGCTGCCGGTGCTGCTGCTGGTGGTGGTTGTGGTGGTCATGGTGGTGGTGGTCGTGGTGGTGGTGGTCACGCTGGTGCTGGTGCTGGTGCTGGTGCTGGTGCTGGTGCTGGTGCTGGTGCTGGTGCTGGTGCTGGTGCTGGTGCTGGTGCTGATGCTGGTGCTGGTGCTGGTGCTGGTGCTGGTGCTGGTGCTGGTGCTGGTGCTGGTGCTGGTGCTGGTGCTGGTGCTGGTGCTGGTGCTGGTGCTGGTGCTGGTGCTGGTGCTGGTGCTGGTGCTGGTGCTGGTGCTGGTGCTGGTGCTGGTGCTGGTGCTGGTGCTGGTGCTGGTGCTGGTGCTGGTGCTGGTGCTGGTGCTGGTGCTGGTGCTGGTGCTGGTGCTGGTGCTGGTGCTGGTGCTGGTGCTGGTGCTGGTGCTGGTGCTGGTGCTGGTGCTGGTGCTAGTGCTGCTGGTGCTGCTGGCGCTGCTGGTGCTGCTGGTGCTGCTTGTGCTGCTGGTGCTGCTGATGCTGCTGGCTCTGCTGGTGCTGCTGGTGCAAAGATCGACATTATCATCAGCAAGCAGCATCGCAGTGACTATCCCCGGGTCATGATCACAGGACCATGGCAATTAGTATCACTCCAGAAGCAGCCGCAAAAACAAGAGCTGCCCATGGATGCTGCTGCTGCTGCTGCTCCTGGGAGCGACAGCCACCGTCGTCCAAACACCAGAAGCCAGCAGCAGCAGCAGCAGAAGCAGAAGCAGCAGAAGCAGCAGAACACAATAATGGTGCAGCAGGATGCCCGCCCCAAGAAGCAGGGCACCAAACCCCAGAAGCAACAGCTGCAGCAGGGCAAGAAGACACAGGTAAAAGGCAAGAACACCAAGGCCGCTTATTGCAGTAAGGGGGGTGCGGATCTTGATGTGTACACAAGCTCCACAAATGCATGCCGGCTCATTTTGTGGGCCTTCCGTGGACCTCCTCCATCCCTCCTGTTGCCCAACCATCATCCAGTGTCTGCTGTCCCGTCTATGCAGCAGCAACAACCCCAGCAGCAACCTCAACAACAACATGTGCTGCCGCACACACAGTATGATGCGATGCACATCTGTGATGAGCGTGCATGCATCAACCCGTTTCATCTTGTGTGGGGAACACGTGCTGAGAACCGGCGTGGTCATCAAGGACGGGATGGTAGCATGGGCTATAGCCGCCTGCCTCCGGTGCAGCAGGGCAGCATCCTCCGTTTCGGAAGCAGCAGCAACATTTCAGCGGCAGCAGAGCAGGAAGTAGGAGATGCTGCTCGGATGCTGCTCTATCTGTTTGATGGGCACCCACCAATTCGGAAATGAGATGTTTGGCTGACAGGATATGATGTAGAAGAATAATGCATGACAGGCAGGTTTATGTGTGTGAGTATGTCTGTGTGTATGTGTGTATGTGTGTATGTGTGTATGTGTGTATGTGTGTATGTGTGTATGTGTGTATGTGTGTATGTGTGTATGTGTGTATGTGTGTATGTGTGTATGTGTGTATGTGTGTATGTGTGTATGTGTGTATGTGTGTGTGTGTGTGTCTCTGTCTTTGTGTGTATGTATGTGTCTCTGTCTTAGTGTGTGTTTGACTGTGTGTGTCTGTCTTTGTGTGCGTTTGACTGTGTGTGTCTCTGTTTATGTATGTGTGTCTCTGTGCCTCTGTGTGTGACTGTGTGTGTGTGTGACTCTGTGTGACTCTGTGTGACTCTGTGTGTGTGAGTTTGTGTCTCTCTGTCTCTGTCTGTCTGCGTGTCTCTGTGTCTTATGTTACCCCAACACCAACATATACCCGAATAGTTCTGTGGCCGTGTGTGTGCATGTTTTCATGTTACCCCAACCCCATCATGTGCCCCATCAGGACTGTGATTGCGTGTGTTTCATGTTACCCCAACACTACCATGTGCCCCAACAGTCATGTGTGTGCGTGTGAGGTTGTGTGTGGGTGGTTGTGTGTTTTATTGTTACCCCAACATCGCCTGCTTGTGTGTACATGGGGGGCGTGTGTGTGTACCACATGAGTGTTTACACACACAGACAGAAAGAGAGAAGAGAGAGAAGAGACAGAGAGAGAGAAGAAATCGAGCTGGTGCCACAAGCGTTGATGTAGCCTGAGGAGTACTCCACCATGGGACTCCACCAAGGACGTCTGTCTGTCTGTCTGTCTGTCTGTCTGTCTGCCTGTCTCTGTCTGTCTGTCTGTCTCTGTCTGTCTGTCTGTCTGTCTTTTTCTTTCTTCATTTCTTTCTTTCTTTCTTACT